TTCCTTGCTATTGATTTACCATCCAAAATCCAAGCCCTGCCAAGAAACCAAATGTAGAACTTTTCAACACAGTATTGGAACTCTGTTTGATTCTTTTAGGTGATAGAGAAGAGCAGCAACCCAAATAAGGAAACAAGAAAATGATGGAGAAGTTAGTTTTAGTTCAGACAAAAGCATAGAAAAGGCTGGAGCTTTATGGGGAAACATTGGAAAGGGACTTTGTTTTGAAGCTCCTGAAATCTAAGACATTCAACTCTGCAACTACCACATTCAACCATCCATTCTCCATTTGGCTATGTGTTAATATGAGTTGGCTTCTAGTTCACACAAAAGCACAAAAAAGGCTGAAGCTTCTGGGGAATGTATTAGAAAGGGACTTGTTTTCAAGCTCAAGAGGGCCAATTTTGGACAAAGTATATGGGGATCAGTAACTATGATTCTATCCTATTCAACTCGAAGCTCTTCAACATCTAAACCATCAAGCTACCCATTTCTCACTAGGCCGAGTGTAGCAGTAACGTGAGCATCCCCCCTTTCAACAATCCAAGCTCTAATATTCCAACACTTCAGAAATGAACACCTTTGCTTAAACCCCAGGGTTTTAGCCTACTGGAATCCCTTCATCCATTCTCTCTACCATTAAACAGCCATGGATACCATTCCTGATTGAAAACGGTAGAGAATACTTCTAGCCCAGAGAGCATTCCCCTTTCATTTATCCCTTTGATGCCAAATTCCTTTCGAACGAACAAAACCCAGTTGCTCAATCACACCCAGAAACCTACACCGAAACTACCCAGACGAAGAAAATTTTGCAGAACCCAAACCCCAGAAACTGTCCAGGATGAAATTAGAACCTAGAACCCCAGAAGGAGAACCGATCATTTCTCAGGAAATACATTCAATGACGACCTCCATCTGATTTCCTCATGATCGAATCGAAAAGAAGAGTCTTTTCCACCCCAGAGTTCATTTTTAAATCACCACAACATCAAAATTCCATCCTCCCACAAGTTGTTAATTCGAAGCTCAGCGCTTAGCTCACCTCGCCATTTTCCCTTTTCCCCCAAAACAGACACAGAGAAAAACAGAGGAAGAAGAAGCTTGACTCGAGACTTGGCAGAAAACGAGCGAGTTGGAGTAGAGTGTCATCGAAGCTGTTCTATATATATGCGCAAAATTAAAATAAAACAAAAAAAAAAACTTGCTCCCCCGTTCTCCACTAGACTAAGAAAGCCTCCATTTGTCGGAACCGGCGGGAAAACGCTCGGCTCGGAGCGTGGCTCGGCGCTCCGGAGCTGGAATATTCCTTCCATGTAGATCTACGAACCATGCTTGGTGGGACCGGTGCGTTGACGGAGGCAGGTCCCGAAGCGCTAGTTGGTAGGCTTGGACCTGTCCGAAGAATATCCTGGCGCGGCTGAGCTGGAGAGGAGGCCTCGGGGGACGAGCTACGTCAGTGTTATAATCGTAAATAGATGGAACTCTGACTTGTTTCCCAAGCTATGGATGGGATGGGAACTTTCTTCGAATAATTTTTTTGTTTGTTGGGTTGCTTCCTTGCTAGTTTATTTTAGTTTTGACCGTTTTGTGAGGGAAACAGAAAGGACTGGCCGTTGATTATGATCTGTTGGATCTTGGTGGACTATTACTGTTCTGCGGTCCTTTTTGGGTGGGCCTCCCTATAGAGGGCCCAATGTCTCAATCACAAAAATACAAACCCTTTCTCAATCACTATCATTAGGGCTGCAAACGAGCTGAGTCGAGTTTTTGCTTAGTTTGAGCTCGGCTCGTTTATAAATTTTTCAGTTCGAGTTTGGCTCGAACTCGAATTTTGATAATCTAGCTCGAGGTCGAGGTTGACTCGATTAAAAATAATCCAGCTCGAGTTCGACTCGGTAGAGCTCGGTAAATGCTCATTAACACAGCTTGTCAAGCTGAGTATAAGCTCGGCTCAAGATAAGCTCGATTTAAAATCATTCTTGCGGAAAATTGTGTACACATAAAAATTTAAATGGTAAAAAGAACATTAGAAACTATAAATAACAACTAACTTCCACGCACACCCGTATAAACAAGATAATGTTCATGTTCAGAAAAGTAACTAATCATTCCACAAGCTCTAAATAGCCCAGCTCGCGAGCTTAGCTCAACAAGCCACCAAGTCAAGCTAGCTCACGAGCTTATCAAGCTGAGCATGGTCTAGCTCAAGCTTGACTCGTTTAATAACGAGCTAGCTCGTGAGCCGACTTGTTAAATAACGAGTCGAGTGTAGAATGCGTTTTTTTTCGATTCGAATGCTGAGTTGCTCGTGAGCGGCTTGGCTCATTTGCAGCCCTAAGTCTATGCTAAATTGCCCCCAATTACTCAATGTTGTCACATCTTGCAAACTGTATTTTTAGGTGTCAAACTTTTCATTTCACTCATCACTCAAGCCATTCTAGAGATTTACAATTTCGCTCATATTTTTTAGTGTAACGGTGGATACAGAATAGAGTAGAGTACTAAGCCACATTTGAAAAGAGATAGAGAGGACTAGACCGTAACCTGACGAGAACATAAACAAATACCTCAAATCATAAATTTACAAGGGTTATACTAGCTCCAGATCCAATAGAGGGTTGGGCCGTGGCCCAGGAACAGCCCCTAGGTCCGCCAGTGTTTTAGTGCCAACCTGTCCTTACCCATCGAATATGAATGATCCTTGTTTTGATTGCGGTCCGTATGAAACAATTGTGTATGTAGACTGTAGAGTAAAAAAAAAAAAAAGGTTTTCAAGGTTGCGCTGTCTAAGTTGCATTCTTGTACTAGCCATACTAATACTAGTAATGAGTTAGGTTGTTCCAAGGCTTTCATTGACACAAACTCCATCAGTAAATCAAACTAGACACAAAACCTTCATTTCCCCATCGATAGTCCATTGTTTTGTTGTAATAAGAACAAAACATCTATGTTAAAAGGCCGCCATGATGAAAAGAAAATAAAAATACCTCTTCTTATTATAGAAGCAGGGATATATATTAGAAGAGAGATAGAAGCAGCCAAGCAGGGATATATATTAGAAGAGAGATCTTTGATTGAATCTTTGTGCTAAAATCATGAGAAATCAAAGAGAGGATGAAGTGAGGCACAAAGAGTACTGTTTAATTTCACCATAGCAGGCTTTTTTAAGGAAATAAATAACCCGATGCTATGGTTAGGATTTAATATTTACACCATAACACCCACTGTTATTATTAAACACATTACACTAAAATTTTGTTTATATGTATTAACTTAAAACATATTTTTTATAAGGATGATATTAGTTTTGCTTTCAATTATATGCCAATTAAGAAATTCGAACATAAAACCTTTAAATTCAAAATCAATAATACTATCACTAGATCAAGCCCTCGTCCACAATCATCATAAAATGTCAATATGTTATCCATACGAGTATTTTGTTGATGTGACTTGAATCGGACTATCAGCTGCTACGACTGGAATAGTCGGGGGTCTCTCCCGCCCGTGGACTAGCTAACACACATCGTATTAGTGAACCACATAAATCGTGTGTCGTATTTTCGATTCTCACTTTCGTGTTCTTACTTTCTCAGTTCCGACAGTTTTCCGATCCGTAGCAGCGCGTTTATAACATATTTAATCCCTAAAGCCTACAAAGGAAGGGATTATTATCCTCTCCCCAAACTCTCTATCTATCACTATGTTTTACATACACTTCTTAGTATACATACATAGACCGACGTGAATACCAAAGTGCATGATAGCGGTCATCTAGATCTATAAACTAATGAAATTACATCTGGGAAATCTTAACAACAAGGTCGTTGTAGTATAGTGGTAAGTATTCCCGCCTGTCACGCGGGTGACCCGGGTTCGATCCCCGGCAACGGCGATTTTTTTTCGTTTGTCTTTCTTCGATTTGGGCTCAAGCCAAATGGGCCTATCTTATGTTGAAAACAGAGCAGTCGCCGAGATCAGGGGTAATTAGCATAAATGGTAACAAACCTTTGCACTTAGTACAAAACGGTCACAAATCTTTAATTTGTAACAATATGGTAACAAAACTTTGAAATTGTATAAAATGGTCACCGCTATTTAATTTGTGACCGTTTTGTTTTAAATGAAAAGGTTTGTTACCGAATCGTTACAAATTAAATGTTTGTCATGTTTTGAGGTCGGGTAGTTTGTTCGTTAAGTATATGACACTAACCACTTGAACGACATATAAGATGTTAGCTTATGTGTTCATCGACATATTTGCTTTGCCAAATAAGAATGCCCTTAGTTGACCTTTCAATTTCGATACCAATCTATCAAAAACAAATTTCGATACCAAGAAAGTAGACAGAGTTTTTTCAACTAAAAAGCAGTCTGGAACCCGTTTGTGAGCCATTGAATTCTCTCATTGTCATCCTTTATGACGATCATATCATTCAAATACATTAACAAAACCACCATACAACTAGAGCGAATTGTAACGGTGATTGAGCGTTCAAACTTTTGAACTTAATTTGTACAAAACGATCACCAAAAGTCTAATTTGCAACGACACGGTAACAAAAGTTTGAACTGGTATGAAATGGTCACACTATTTAATTTGTGACCGTTTTGTTCTAAGTAAGAAGTTTTGTTATCAAATGGTTACAAATTAAAGGTTTGTGACTGTTTTGTACTAAGTGCAAAGATTTATGACCATTTATGCTAATTACCCCCGAGATCAGCCCACTCAACTATCGGCCGAGTATCTCCATTCTCCACCATGGAAAAGCTCACTAGTTCATCCAAAGTCCAAACAGCTCAACATGAAAGCCATTGGAAAAGTCAACTTGATGCACATAACAGAAGATTCAAACTTGGCTCCAACCTCCTTCCATTCCATTGATAGATACCATTCATGGAGAGACTTCGGGCCTTCCAATTCCAAGATTCCAAAGCAAAGAATTGACAAATTAATCAAAATAAGGCCAGATACTCCTTTCCCAGGAGATAAGACTGTTACTTTCTATTCCATTCTTCATTATCAACATTCAACAGCACCAACAGAAGATCAAACTATGAACAACACGAACAATAATGGGAAGAAGAAGAAGGAAAAGAAGTTCCTTCTTAGAGGAACCTTTTCTTATTACACAGACATTTGATTAATTGAGTTAATAATAATCATGCATCACTCTCCCCACTACCAGCAAAGTGCAACCCTCCACTCCCCTGATCCCAAAACTTTGCTTCCTTTCTTCCCTTTTCCAGACATAGGAGGATATGAGAATGAGATGATAAAATATTTCTGACTCAGAACAGACAAAAAAGAACTGCTAATATTCACTTTTAAGGAAAAAGTGGGATCTCCACCATGACTACCATTCCAGAGCTCCCTTTCTCCATTGCTGCTGCTACAACTAAGTTTGTTTTTGGGGTTTATAATCCTGTCATCAAAGATGTAAACCTTTTTTTTTTGTACTCCAAAATTACTTCAAATGTTGCGCCTTTTTTGGAGCGATTTCATTTCACGATATCATTAACAGCAGAAGAAGAAGCCTCTACTAGGCTTGTCATCTTCTTCTCCATTCTGGGTTTTGGGGGTGTCACCTGGGTCATCTCTTGCAGCCATTAGAGAGCTTTCGCCAGGTGAATCGGGGGCCAGGACTTTGTTCTCGGATGAATACATCCGAGCTGGGATCACAGGTGCTGCTGGCGATACGGTGGTGAGGTATCGGTGGAGCATCTGTATGATCTCGGAGAAGTTCGGCCTGGCATTTGCATCCTCTTGCCAACATGAGGTTACTATTAAGGCCAGCTCCTCGGGGAGGTCTTCGGCACTGGGTCTAACGTTCTGAAATGCGTTACCAAGTCAAGCAAATTCCAGTAGATTTCGACTAACCATACAGCAATTTTCGCTAGTGAGAGGATTCGGGTTGAAACTAGTATGCTCACCTTGAAAGCAGCAGCATAAGCTGCCTGTAGATTGGACATGCCTTCGAAAGGTAATTTGTTATGGACAAGCTCCCACAATACGATTGCAAAACTATAAGCATCCACCTTGTGATTATAGTGCTTTTTCTCACCATGCCTTAATGTTACCGTGCTGTAAAGCTGCCAGGGAGATCATGGAAATTAAATTCTTGGTGTGTTGCTTAAAACAAGACTTACATCACTGACAAGATATGGTATTAGACTATTAGTTCTACCTCAGGGGCCATCCATCTATATGTTCCTGTTTCGGCAGTCATCATCTCGGTTAATGACTCTTCTCTTGCTAAACCAAAATCTGCAAGTTTTACTGTTCTGTGGTCTGCTGTCAACAGCAAGTTGTCTACAGAAAGAAGTGTGGGATCAGAACTAACAAGTATGAAAAAGCAGCAACGTACTAAGACTTCAAATTCAAAGCCAGGGAATTCCTTCTTGGGCAGAACTAGTAGACTAAACCAGCAATACCTAGCCCATATCTTGTACGCTGTGGCCATTTCCAATAGTAACTCACAAAATTATTCAGTAGAGAAGAGATAAAAGGGCCAGGCAGAGCTATAAAAACCAGCTGAGAGAGGCATATTTAAGTTATTTCACTCGAGGACCATTTGTGCACAAGCAGAACAGCTGATAGTTTACAAACTACAGAGATTCAAGGACAGGAGAAAACCACTACAACCAGCAAGTGATTTTAACATACCGGGTTTAAGATCACGGTGAATGATCCCATGGGAGTGTAAGCACTCCATCGCACGAGCAATATCGAGAGCGAAACCAATTGCAACATGCTTCTCCAAGCACCTTGGCCGCATGTTCAGCAAGTACTTTCGTAGCGTCCCACCTAGCAGAAGCTCAGTTACTATCACCATGACTGGTTCTTTGCAAGCACCAAGGAACTGATTCACCCAAAAAATGGCCCAATCAGAACGTAAAACCAAATGAGGAGACATGACAGAAACAAAATATTGCAGAGGGACAAAAGCAAAACAAACCTTGACCAGGTTCTTGTGCTGCACTTTGGATAACATTGCAATCTCCCTGGCAAACCGTGCTTCTCTCTTGGCAATCTCCTCTGGTGTTTCCCCTCTATGAACTACTTTAATTGCCACAGTTTGATTCTTATACCTACCAAAACATTTGATGCAAGAAAGAGGGCAGCAAATGAGCTTTGACCAGAAAACAACAGAAAGGCCAACAATTCGACCAAGTGATCCTCTAGATTTGCATAGATTTGTCCAAACAAAATTCCCAACTAAGAAATTATGGGTCTATCCAGAAATAGCAAAGAAGCTTCAGAATCAAATAATTGTCTGGAAGGGTGCAAGGAAGAAGGAGAAGGTTGACTTACTTTCCCTCATAAACTTTGGCATGAGCACCTTCACCAATCTTTGGTCCAACAAAGAGCAGCTTAGGATCAATCAACAGCCTATCTTCCAAATCGAACTCCCCTTTATAATTCATCAAGTTAGTAGATCCCATAGCTTTAACAAACCTCCTCCACTCTATACTACCAAGTCAATGGAAACCACCACCATCTATCAAAACTCACAGTGACCCTTCACATCTACCAGTCCTCTGAGCTAAACCCAACTCCCCAAAGCCTCAGATTTTGCCCCACACTTAACTCCAAACAATTCAGACTTCCCAGATCCGGAAAAAAGGTCTAGACTTCAGACATTTGGGGCCTTATGCAAGAAGTAGAGCTTCGCATGGTAGTGTGACTGACACCAAGAAAACCAGAAGAAAGAAGAATTGGGAAAAAGGAAACGACTTTGGGGAATTTGATGAAACAGGATTAGAACTACCAGCAAGCAGAGTTGGGGAAGATTAGGAAAGAAAAAGGTATGGTGGGTGGAGAACCTTGATGAGGTTGGATTGATTGAAGAGAGATGAACAACAACACCCAGGTGAGGAATTCTAGAGAAAATTGTATGTCTGTGTCAGAACAGAACTGAAAATTTTCTTCTTCTTAGCTATTTCTCTCTTTTGGTTCTTCTATCTTTGGTGGGGTGTGGGTGGTGAAGGGAGAAGAAGAATGCTGTGATGTTTCGTTCTTTCTTTCCTCTTTTTCTGTTTGATCTGGTTGCTGCAGATAAAGCCGCGGCTAGGCAGGATTTGAGTCTTTGTCAGACAACAGTTTGTGGGTTTTTTAATAATTTAACTTTTTATTAAGTCTCCTTTTTTGTTCTTTAATTTGCTTTCCTTTTCTATAGGAATCTGTTTTCCAATTTTCAGACAAGCAAGTAAATAATAAGCTTTATTATTAAGATACTTATCGTAAACGATTTTTTTTAAATGGACTAAATATCTTTCGGTTTGATTTAAGGTGAGATCCGATAATTAAATCAATTAGGTTTAGTTATTTCAATATGTAGATGATGCATATTATCTAAAGTTTCAATATGCTAGAGGAAAAGAATATTGCATTCATTTCAAATTCGAATTGCAACTTTTATTCTCCTACTATCCTTGTCGTTTCTCTTCACATTTTTATATTTGGAAGGAGACGGCAAGAATAAAAGAAGACAAAATAATGCACATTGCTATGTAGTGACTAGAAAAAGTAAAGAGAGTCGATTATCTCGACTTTCTCCCTTCCTTCTATATCTATGAGTTTCCTTGAGTATGAAAGGAAATGACAATGAGAAAAATGAAGACAAGATTATGTGAATTGCAGAATTTGGTAAAGAAGAAAGAGGAAGAAGATGTGAATTGTGATGGTGTCCTTGTTGCATCCTTTGAGGCAGTAAACAATTCAGTTCATTGAGTTACATTTTCAATTTCAACAACTGACTTTAAATTTATATTCAATCTATATTTTGATTGAAAGGTATACGGTGCTTACCCATGTTATAAGCTTAATTGTACAAAATATAGTAAGCTTTGGTATGAACGTCAAGTTCAATACAAAACTCAATTGGTAGTGGAATATTGGTATAAGAGCAATTTTTTAACTCATTCAACAAATAGAGTAATTTAGCTTATTCTTGATTGACACAACATGCAATTATAATTATAATTTTAGTTGAAGTATCTACTCTACATCAATTATTCGGATAATCCTATGTAATCAGATTCCTTCTATAATCAACAAACAAATTATTTAAGGAATATGATAAAAAGATATTAAATATTCATAAGACTAGGCTTTAGCTAACCATGTGGTTAAAGATTCAAAGGTTCTTGGTGCACAAACGCCTGACCTTCTTCATGCCAAACAAGGTAACTAAGCCAACGTTAAATGCTTTAACCTCATTGGCCAAAATACCAAATAAGTCCCATTTCCATTAGACCACCACAAATCGATGCTTAATCTGATTTTGCTTTAGCACATACTTAACGGGTGATCATCGGTTTAACACACATAACTCTCGAGAGATGATAAATAGGTTTGGTTCGATAACGAAATGTGAAACCTTATGCACTATTAGATAGCATGATCAAAGAGGAAATTGTATTCTTAGACAAGTGGAGAAATGCAAAATTACACTAACAGGTGATCATGAATCTGACCAATCTTACCCCTCAGCTATAGTATTATGATTCCAACAATTTTTTAAGGGTAATTTACATTTGGTTTCACAACATTCTTCTTCGGAACCAATTAGCTCCAATAATTCGAATTATTGGGAGAAAATGGATAATGAATTTTATAGTTTGTATTTATTTCCCTGATCATGTAGGAGAAAAAAGGTTGTGAGAGGAAAAAGAGCAAAGAACCAACAACGACAATGGTTTACATTCTCGTTGTGTACGTATTTCAGGAGGAAAAAAAATGTTTACCTTTAGACCGTAATATTATATCAGAAGTTGAATTATTCTCACCAATAACCCTACTTTCAAAAAAAAAAAAAACAAATTTCTTGTATCATTTTCTAACGTAATTTTATCGTTAAACTAATCATCATCCACACAACACAAAAAAAATGAGACATCCCTATCTCTAGTTGGATAAACAATTAGCCACCTTTTCATCCTACCTCCCTCAATTCAAACACCTCAGAACAAGAATCACATGGTAATAGAATGGAGAAAACAAAACACAATGTGGGTTGACTTGGTTTGGTTAGTGAATTAATGCTGCTCTCTATTTAAAGTTTGACATTTGCAACTCCACACCGACAGACTTTTGTGACTTCTTTGATCTTTCTTTGGGCTCGAGAGTTGAGCCCGCAGTCAGACTCGGTCAGCCCACTTGGCGGTGCCACGTCACCTCTCATTTATCTTCCAGAACTAATTACGCCCACCTTCACCTGGCCACAAATGTTCCAGAACAACAATATATATATATATGTAGCCCCCACCATTTCTTCCACAATCGTACTTCCGTACGTAGCTTCTTCCATTGTTCCATATGATGAAATATATGCAAGAACTACCATATCAATGGAGGAAAGGGTTGTGCTCTTGATCATGAGCATCGAGGGGGGAAAGAGATCAGCAACGAAAAGTTTCATTGTTGCATTCTCTAGCTCAATCAACAACGTGAACAAACAAAGAAAAACGTATATGCACATGGCGAGTGAGCTCATAAGATAATTTGCTTCAAGCAGTAAACTTATAGATTCATGGATGGTTCAGGGTTTCTCTTATTCAAGTGATAGAGTATACACAATGTATCTAGTAGACTGCTAGTTAATTCTAAGGTTGTCACATCGTAGACCAGTACTAAGTAATTAAGCTAAGTATGACCATTTACAACTAAGTTCCATTAACTATAATAGACAGAGTTTCAACTAGACAACATGCTATATTTCAATAATTAAAGGGCCATACCAAAGACATACACACTCACTATGAACTAATAATATATATATAATGGACTCACTTTACAAGTCATCATGTTGGTCTTCTAAAACCATGTTATAGAAACTGTCTCTCGAAATATTACGATAACTTCGTGAAACACGTCAAATGATGGTTGTGAATTTTCACAGATGTTGAAGTTTGTATAACCAAAGCCACAATTACATGCACATAATTAAGATACAGTTATTGATAATCTCTCATTCAGTACCACATCTTTGTTGTTGAATGCGTATAATACATGTTAACTTAAACTACCCTCTATAAATTAAAGTATCTGAGACACCCATGAAATGAGAGCCTAGCTCTGATTGCTTCATCCAATATTGGCCAACATCAATAGCTAGGCCACCACTTTTAACGTATTCTTCTTCATGTCAATGTCATTGCATTGGAGTCATGTTTTGGGGGCAATAATAAGAAGCAACAAAAGCTCACGTCGGTGGGGTTGGCAAGACAAATGGGACGTTCATGGCGGTTGTCTTCTTCCCTTCCCATGGCGACTTTTTTCGTGCAAAATTTATCTCTGCTACTTCTGACTTCTGAGTAATTGTTCCTCTTTGACCTTTATGTATTTAATAGGTTTTGTCTTTCTTGCTCATTTTCGGTTTTTGTTTTTGGGCTTGATGGCCATGTATGTAACCTTATCTCGTGGGAGAGACGAGAGTATAGTAGTGTCCCTGCTAGCTAGTGAAGCCAAAGAAGCCATTGCTGGTTTTATGACGAGGGGCCCTTCCTTCACATAATTTTTTTTACCGTTTGTGATGGTCGATTCAATGATACATATTAGGGGAGATTATTTGTCCATGTTTTTTGGTTTTACCCGAAATCAGATCGTATAATCCGGACTAGAACCGGATAACAAACAATCCAATCCAGTTTTCGGGCTTAGATTTGAGGTAAAAAACTGTTTGGGACCGCACCGGAAACCAGATAAAAACCGGATAAGAGAGTCCAACACCCAAAACCTAACCAACTCCTCACTCTTTCAGGCCTCAGCCCACTTAAACCCCCACAAGGTCATCTAAAATCGAGAACCGAATTGGGATTGAAATGGGTCAAGACTAGACTGTATACAATTCCATCTTTGCCCCTCGTATTCCTGAAAAGATCGGACCGGGACCGGTGCAATTCGGACCAGTTTAACCAGACCGTATAGCCACCCCTAAAGCAAATTGTTTAGAACCACAACTTTATATGTGAATTTGAACAAAAAATCAATATGTAATGTATTTTTAAATAGAACCATTGTCTATATATGTGAGATATACCCATACCAAATGCCTAATGAATCGATATTCTATACTATAGACATGGATTAAAATTCATCACAAAACCAGTTTATTTGGTAGTGGAACTTTCTTTTGAAATATTTTCGTAGCTCAAACCCTAAATATAGCTTTAATCAACACCAACTAGCGATATGCTTACCTAAACAAATGATAAGTTTATATTACTCCCAAAAACTAACCTAGTTTTGGTGGTATATATGGTTAAGGGTTTCGAAGGTACGTACATGAGCGTACTCTACAGATCTCAAGATTCGTACTGATCATTATCTTATCATTTCTCTATTGAGCAACCAACCAGACCCGTACTATGTCAGCATCTGATTTTCCCAATCACATGCCGCATGTGCACCCTCGCAAAAACACAAGAATTTGTTGGGCTCATTCTTGTCACCGATAATGTTATCCTCTTTTCAATTTAGTATGTACATAATCAATCTGTTTGTGAAATCATATCAAAGATCAAGCGGATGAAGTTTGATTGCTCGAGATAAGACGTAAATGATTGATGAGGTAGGGTTTGGGCTTTGGGGTTAGTTCGTGTTATACGTTCTATTAGTTGGTATGGGTTAGATTAGTGAGTTACGTAGCTAGATAGTAAGGAATATGCATGGTCCAAGTAGTTAATAGGATTAGAGGCTAAATAGTAGTCTCTGTAGGGTTGCCGAGTTGTGTAAGTAAGTAGTAGGGTTCGGCTATAGCTAGGGTTACGTATTTGGTTTAGTCGCCTAAATATTGTAATCACGACATTAGTTCGATTAATAAATCAATAATAAACCTGAAAGTCTTTCGACACTTTACGTCGTTCTCTCGCTTGTGAGTTACAAGCAAAACCCTTGAACTCGTGGGTTACGAGTTCATCAATGATTGGTCAATTACTTTCTCCCTTTGCACATGACCCTCTAGGTCATCACTTGAAAGTTGAAACAATCCACACTAACGCGGTAGATTCGATCTGTCCACCCATTGGTCCGGCCCAGAGTATTATGACAATTGAATTGACAAGCCAAAAAGTCAGGTTGGGCCAAAAATATAATCCGGTCCATATAAGGATTCCTACCCGAAAAATTGCGCCAATTCACAGAATGGCAGTTAGGCACCAAACGGACCATTGCAGCCCTCGACTCCGAAAGCCCTAAGGCCCTGTTTTGTTTACCCGAACAAAAATAAGCGACTCGGCCACCTCTCCCCTCGTCCTCTCTTCTCCACCAGCAGCAACTGTCTCCGATCGAATCGACGGCGGCGGCTCTTCCCTCCAGGAAGCTCCCCTCCGGGCCTCAAGCTCTTCTCGTATAAGAGGTTAAAAGGCTTAACTATCCCTTTCCCAACAACTCGAGTTATTGGGGCCAAGTGGTTAGTTTGCTAACATGGTATCAGAGCCTAGAAACGAAAGGTCATGGTTTCGAATCCTCATGACGACCCCATTTTCAGCCATTTGTTTAGCACAAGGGATGGTATGTCCAACCTGTGCAAACTAAAGCCTCGTGGTTTGGCAGCACAAGGGTTCAACCTGTGCAAACTAAAGCCTCGTGGTTTGTATAGACTTTTGTGGTGATCGTATTATTTATAACAATGAGTTGGTGCGAGTGTGCTACTTTTCAAGCTATGAGCGAGCTGTCCAAGGTTTGATGGTCCTTGAACAGAAAATTTAACATATACCAGTTTTTGGTCCTTGCTCCAAACAATGAACAACCATGAGATCCAATCTAAGTTCTACCGCCTAACTCATGTTACACTAACATATGAACTTTCAATAATATTCAATTGGGCTCCAAATGGGTTTCTTTAGCTTCCATGTTAGTAACATTAATCCTTTTGCTTTAGCATATTCCAAGCGATTCAGTTGAAAACTGTGATCCATTCTCAACCACGAGAGTACAGGGGGTAACAAAGAGCACAAGTTGTTTATTTACTACGAGTAACCATTGATACCTGACACACATTGGTACCCGTGAGCTTTTTCAGCAGTGAACCACCTACTACATTATTCTGTTCCACAAACAGAATTTGGGCAGCCTAGCACCATCAATCGTACCATAACCTAACATGCCACACATACCACCTGTGCAATGTGATTCTTTTCTCCCTAGCAGGAAGCAGAGGATGACGATGGAGAGAAGGAGAAGGATGACTACCCATGTTGCGATATCTTTTTGATACGAGCCAAACAATTGTCTTTTGGTCGCGGGTGAGGCAAGTACTGTAAGGGGCACTCTGGATTCACGAGCTCCAGCCTGCAACCATAATCCAAAAAATCATTGAAATCTCTGAATCGCGAATCGGTACATTTAATGTCGCGGTCGAGTCACACTCGGATGAGAGACGACCTGCAAGTTTCACTACTACTTACTCATAGCCAACGAGGAAATAGTGTAAGAAAGCAGCAATTTCGATCTTGGCAAGATCGTTTCCAGGGCACATATGGCTTCCTGCTCCAAACGGAAGGAAAGTACCCGCCTTTGGTGTCAGATTCTGCATTTTTGCAAATGTCGATTAGTGTGAATCTTGAATCCTATTCTCTTGCATAACATCTCAGGTTAAATGGACTTACATCCCATCTGGAAGGGTCAAATGCTCTTGGATTCGGGTATACCTCAGGGTCCAAATGAACACCCCTGAACCAAACTAGTACCCTCCAGCCCTTGGGAATCGTATAACCTGTCAAAAGATCATATGATACATTTCCCCATGCATACATTGAACCATCAATTGTGACGTTTTGGAGAATGATCAAAGATTAATAAATCTGAAGTTCCGAACCATCAATCGACTCACCACTCATATACACGTCTGTTTTCGCTTCTCTGAATACAACGAGAGAGAATGTTATGAATCGAAGTGTCTCATCTATCACCTGCAGGACACATTATAAAACTTTAGTAACTGTACATGATTAATTAGCAAGCTGTTAAATGAAAAGACTTGATTATGGCATCGAGAGCTAAAGAAAAGAAGCAACCTTAGATAGGTAATCCATTTGGCGTATTTCCTTGAGGGTCAACACGCCCTTTTGATTGATTGGCCTTCGCTTTACGATTTCCTCTGACTCCTCCTGATCAAGCATGTAGCCTGTTGTATAAGCAAAGAGTAGTAGAATCTGGATACCAAAATGTAAACTAAATACATAAAAATAGGTGTCTGCATACCCTGGCTTTGCGAAGGCAATCATGGTGCTGATGGAGTAACACCATTGCCCACATGGTGACATGAGCAGAGGATTCATGGCCAGCATTCAAGTACATCAACAGAACATCGATGATCTCCTCATCTCTAAGCTTCCGCCCATTCTCATCTTCCACGCCCATCAATTCATCCATCATGTCCACCTTCTTGCTCTTTCCCAATTGTTGCTTCCCACTCTCATCCTCCTGTTTGATTCTGCTTTTGCGCTCATCTAGGACCGATTGCAGCACATCCACCACTTTCTTACGCGCCTAACAGATGTAACGATAATTTGAGATTGATTCTGATTCTCATACTCACTAAAAATCACTGGGCAATTGTTACCTTGAGAGCTCTGTAGTAAGCAAAACCAGGGAGGTTGATAGCCATGGCTCTGACTCCATGGTTGACCGTGGTGTACTGTCTCTCCAGGGTTTCCATGACGTCCTCGCACTCGGAGCTGAGGAAGATGAACATTATGATCCTGAACGTGAGCTTCCGGAGATGGGTCAGCAGCTCTAAGGGCTCCCCGGCGGAAGACCATTCCTCCAGCGCGGCAACGACATTCTCTCCGATAAAGGTCATGTAGAGGGAGAGGGCTTCGTACCCATTGACCGGGGCGGCGGTCAGACGGCGGAGTCGCTTGTGGTCTTCGCAGGAGATGCCGATGAAGGAGTTATTGCCCATTAGCTCCACCGTGGAGGTGGGCCAGCCTGGCTTGAAGGCTTCGTCGTCCATTAGCACTCGCTTGGATGCCTCCGGGGTTGTTACGAACACGCTGGGCCTTCCAAACATCAAGGCCTTGTAAAGCCCACGCCCTCCATATCTGTGGCCCAATGGATTTCAGAGAAAAATAAAACGAAATAGTTCTTCAATGATATCATATCGCTAGGTTCCTGGATTTTTTTGTGTGTGATAGGTAAGTGTATAATAAGATAGTTAAAGTATATCAAACAATCAAACGCAGAAGTCGATCAATTAAATTGTCGATGAAAGGTTAATAGTAACCACTAGATGGGCATGCCTATGTGTCTGTAGGGAGTAAAGGAACAAAAAAACAGAGAAAAAGCAACAATCGTCAAACGAATTTTCTCCAAAATTACTCCATCCAAACTGTGAGCCACATCCTTTTGTTTTATAGATTCATTGTATCATTTGAAAAAAGAGACTATTATAACATTCATTATTTTTGTCTTTTAACATTCTTATATTATCCGTAGTTTAATAAAAACAATTTAAGCACCAGCAAACAATGGGGATGTAGCTCAAATGGTAGAGCGCCCGCTTTGCATGCGGGAGGTACAGGGTTCGATCCCCTGCATCTCCACTCTAACTTTTTAATTGACTTAATGGTAACATAAAACTTTAAATTCAATTTTTGAAATAAAAGTCAACCTCTTATTGTTGTTGTATGAGCTTCAAGATGTTCAGTATTGGATGGATCAAAAGATGCTCCCATTCAAACTTAACATGATCTCTTAAAACAAAAAATGTATTAACAAACAACTAAGGGACCCTTTATTAGTAATTCGAATATTGTCTAGAGGCGGTAGGAATCTTTTTAGTTTAAGGATTACTAATGTACATGGAATAGGGATGATAACATTAATTATCAAAGCCATACCAAATATACTAATATAGGGATGATGATTTCATATGAGAATATTAAAAGAATGTAGCACTCACAAGTCACAACAAGAGGAGCTAGCACTTCCTCATTCTCATTATGGTGTTTCTTTCTTCTCCTTTTTAGGATGCAAAACTTTGTCGCCTACCCACCACCCACCTTCGTCATATTATTCTTTTACCCACAAAGCCAACCCATTCCCCCAGTTTGTGTTTCGTCGAGTCACTCACCACTTGGCTGCCGCACGCAGCATTCATTGCTGCCAATTAACTTTTGGTATAGAAAACAAATTATCAAGTTAAGCACCTAAAAGGATTGTGCAGCTTCCCGATGAGCTATGTGACGCGATTCAAATTTTGTTTAATGATCAGGAACTCTTATCTGCGGTCGTTATTTTGGTGCCACCGGAGACGTGTCAAAATTTCGAAACTTGATATGGGCGTTTAACGGAGGTGAATACAATTCGATTTCGGTTGCATAAGATCTATAATTTTTATGGAAAAAGTTAAAACCAAATTATAATAGGCAAGCCAATTTGCTCAAGCACATAAGGTAAACAAATCATTAAATTTTTGTGAAGGGACGAATCATGGAGGAAGTAGAGAGAACCTGTTGGTGAAAGTACGGAGGAAGGAATCGGGGTCGTGAGACTTGAAAGCCGAAAGGAATGACCACATGTTGCCGATGAGTGGCCAGCCGTAATCCCCCGGAGGCAGCCGCCGTCGCGTTTCTTCCGGCAGCCCCGACTCTTGCCACCACACGTTCCCTCTCTTCGCCGCCCATCTCAGGCTCCCGATCACTACGACCGCCACCGCTATCCCCACCGGCGCCCAATAATAATTCCACCACCCCTCCATTAGTCCCTTCCGCCACTCCTCGCTCGCCAAAGGCATTTCGGTTCACTTCATATATAGCTTCTGCGCACAGCCAGAGGCGCACTGATGTTTATATGCACAGATAGAACTCCTGCCACAAAATGAATAATTTACAAGTTAAGTAGTTTTATAAATAAAACAAAAACTGAACTATTGAAAATGATGATTCTTCCATCATTAGTCACTCAAAAAAAGAAGAAGATTTAAATGTTTGATTTTAAAGTAAGAAATTCCATCATCTATATTAATGTCTTGACACTTTCCATAATTTGGCGTTTATTGTGTAACTTAACTATATACTATTTTTTTTTTGGGTTAAGCTAGTTGCTCGTATTAATCATAAATGAAACACCACTCACATGCTCTTGATATAATAAAGAAGAGATTTCGAGTCAGATAACTACGAGTGAGATAAAGAAAAAAAACCACGACTCAAATTAACTGGTCAAACACAAATTAACAACTACGATTTGATTTTACTTTGATTGACTAACAATTTAGAAATTTGATTGTTAATTGATTTTAAAAATACCGAGGGTTATATGATTTTAAGTTTGATGAAATGTTAAGGACAATTAGTATGTTGTTCGACTAATTATTCCAAAGAATAAGAATTAAAAAAGGTTGTTTCATACTCTTTTAGTATACCATTTGATCATATGTTAAATTCAATATAATTTATAATTGTAAGAACAATATAAGATTTTTTTCCATATATCAGCGCTAAACATATATTAACATTAACCAAGATTAGTCAAACCATATCGAAAACTGTACCGGGAAAGTAAGCTGTAGGATATTTTATGTTACAACCGTGGTTCATCGTCTACCGATTTAGCCTCCAATACTGTTAATTTACCGTTGAACCACCGGTACAATTTCACAAACCATGACATTAACACTCAACCCACTTTCTTAACTGGACAACCAATTAAACCGAGTTGACAACTTGTATTAGAGTTAACACATGGTAGGGCAGGCCCATAGTTAAAGAGGCAGAGGATGTTTGCAAGCTACTTAGCTGGAGGCCATGATCTCTTATTACCTTCACAAAAGGAGGAGGAGGAGGATGCCTTGCACTCACTACTACCTTTGCCTTTTCAGTTTTCACAAAAGCAGGAGACGGTGGGAAGATTGTGATTTCCGGGAAATGGAGGGGCAAAACGGTAAATAGAGCTATCTATATGTAATCCCAGTTCCCAACCCAATCCTCCATTCCAGGCAGCGGCCTCCTCTCCATTTCGCTTGCTCCGAACCGAAACCATAGGCTCCTCCTCCATCTAACTCTCTGACCGCCGCCTCTCTTCATTCTTCTTCTTGTTCTTGTGATGTCGTCTTCTCCCTCACATCGTATTTTCTAAGGAAATGAAGAAACCACAAGAGAGAAGAAATCCCATCTATTCTAGCTCCCCCCCGTCTCTCTCTCTCTCTCTCTCTCTCTCTCTCTTTCTACCGTCACTGGAAACGATGCTGACCGTGAAAGAAGAAAGGGCGCCGAGAGAGAGAGAGAGAGAGAGAGCCATGGTCTCTGGGTAGGCCTCCTTCATTCGATTTTGGTTGGTTTTCTTTTCTAGTGATTCACTTTTTGCCTAGTGTATTCTGACTTATGATTTGGTTTTAATTTTATCTTCCTTTGGGTGCGAGGGGGCCGATCGATCTCAAGAAAGGGAGGAAGCAGAGGAGAGCGGCGGCGCGGCACCCCGCCGACGAGTTGTTTTTTGCTCGTTTCTATTTTTTGTGGTTCTAATTTCCTTTTTTGATGCAGGGTTCCATCCAGTAGGATCTGCACAGCTTGGTTATGGTTATGAATGTTTGAGAAAAAGACGTTTCAGTTATGGTTTTGCTTGTTTGTGGAAAGAGGGAATGTTATTGATGTGGAGAGGGGATGTGTGCGTCTGACGATGAGAAATTGATTATGATTGGGGGGAGATTAATTGAGAGAAAACTGACCTGGTCTGGTCTGGTCTGGTATGGTCTTTTATTAATGATCCGTCCTTTTCAGCTGATGGCTTCTGCTGCTCCACCTCCACTCCCAGCCCCAGCCCCAGCCCAGGGAAGAAAAAGGAAAGCAAAGTCTCTGTGTTTTTCAGTGTGTTCCCTTTCTGATCTAAATTCTGCCCCCGGAATTAGAGCGAGCGAGCGAGCAGAGGAGCTGCTTTATTTTTTATAGGCAGCTGCCGATCTTCTAATAGGCTGCTTGAAGTCGGTAGTGATGTTGGTCAGTTGGTGTGGGCTGGCAGCAGAGCCGGTGTTGATCCACAACTCTGCTTGCAAACTAAAAGTGAAGGACAAGGTACGCGTCGCGACATCATCTTTTATTCCGCCGTTCCACGATGATCAGGAGGTGGCTGACCTCTGCCTTTTAAAATAGTTCCCAAGCGAGGTGGGATGATTTTCAGTATGTTTGAGTTTGCTTGGAAAAAGTTGGCAGCCAAGGCCGGTTTTCTTGCCATTGCCATTGTCATTGTCATTGTCATTGTGAAACTGATAGTCAGTCAGTCAGTCAGTCTCCATGGACATTGAACGGGCGGTAAGAGTAAGACGCTATGAAGTGGACTTTGGGCTTGAAGAAGTAGGGCCTATTTTTGGAGGAAAGCCCAAACTTTAAACTAGTAGCAGAAGTCGGCCCACTTCATTCAATAAAGTACGCTAAAGAGAGGCCTTTTAAGTAAACAATTATTTCCTAGTCCTTATACAATTATTTCCTCACTCTCAATGTATCCTAATTATACAATTATTATTATCCTAGTCCATTTCTCATATTACATTGTCAAGTCAAATCAAATCAAATATGAAAGATATTGGAATATAACCTCACTTTTTGTTACATGCGCTCAAATTTATGGTTTCATCATTGAACGAAAGAGATTGGATTATAGCCTCTTCTAAGCTAGACGAGCGGATCACTACAAAGAATATGATTTTCAGCGATTCAAAGTTTGACGAAAAGAATTTTTTCGTTGCTAAATGCGGGGGTTCGACGACGAATTTGAACTATATGTTGCAAATTGTCACAAATTTGGTGGAACAGTGAGAAAATAGTTTTCGTGACAACAAATACCTTTTCGAGATGAAAAATCATGTCGCAGAGTGTTTGTAGTTGCCCTGTCAACTTTTCAAACGATACCATTTTAAATTTGGTTTAAATTACAAGTAAAAACTTGCAATAAATTTAGAAAATAAACTAGTTTGCAGGTTATTTTTGCTCATCTTAGTTCAAGCTCCTGGCTCCTTTATTGACCGGAAAGTGATCGGATTATAATCTCTCTTGAGCTACACGAGCTGAGATTTTTTTTATTCCGCCACTAAAAAAGAGAGATGGAGTTAGCCTCTCCCGAACTAAACGAGCTCTCACAACTTTTCACCTTAAAACACTTGTTACACTTAAAAGTCCATTTCTAAGCATGATCACCACTACTCTTTGCTCCTTGCTCATCACCACGATCTTCTACGTCGTCGTTTTTCTTCTTCTTCTTCAAGCTCGCCTTGTACCCTCCATACAAGTGAGAAGCAAAACCCCACAGGCACAGCGCCAACGCCAACGCCTTCTCCGCATTAAACCCTTCCCTGAAGAAGATCACCGCAAACACCTGCTGAACCGGGACGAGAAGCGACGTGACCAGCCCCGTAAACAGCGACGAAGAGCAAAGCAACAAACCCAAGCCTCCTATCACCATAACCTGCAACGCCATCACCGCTCCGAATACGACAACGTAGTACTTGGTCTCCCCGAGACCAAACTCGGCCGCTTCTTCCGACAAAGCCTCGAAGTCCTTGTTAACAACCATGGGGACGGTGCAGAAGATCGTAGCGAAAAGAGACACCACGAACTGGACGTGCATGGCCACGTCGAACGTGACGGCAACTCCGGACTTCCGTTGGGCGAACTCTAACGCCGTGATGGAGAAGCCGTGGAACGCGGCGGCCGCGATCGTCATGACGAACCCGAGGACGTATTTGGTCTTGGTCTCTCCCTTGGGGATGTCTCCGTCCATGTGGGCCCCGAGGATGACGGAGCCGAACGTCATGAGGACGACGGCGTTGATGGAGTAGTGGGTGAAGTTTTGTTTGACGATGAGGTAGGCGAAGAGGGCGGTGAAGGCGAGCTGGGAGGAGCTGACTAGGGAGTTGACGGAGACGGGGAGGTAGGAGGCGCCGAAGGAGTAGAAGTAGTTGGTGGCGCCGAAGAGGATGCCGACGACGGCGCTGGAGCAGAAGAGCCACGTGGTGAGGACGAAAGGGTTATTGCGGCGGCGTGTGGTGGTGTTGGTGTAGTGGGAGATGGCGATGGGGAGGAGGAGGATGGGGAAGCCGGAGTTGACGCTCCATGCGGCCAGCCACTTTCGGGTGCCGCCGTGGAGGAAGTACATCCGGGAGAGGATGGGGCCGCCGACCTGGCCGACGGCGAGGAGGAGGCAGTTGAGGAGTATGAGGAATGTCTTGTTGTGGTTGTGATTGTGAGGGGTTTTGTTGTTGTTGGTGGCACTTGGCTCCATCTGATCCATTGGGTAGAGAGTTACGTTGTAATTTGGATATAGACTACAAATGGAGTTTGCTTTGTGGCCTGTGTATGTTCCATTTCAATATCGAGTGTGGGTAGAGGTATATATATACACATATCTTTGTGCATCATATTGGTTTTGGACACTATGGAAAAGACTCATTATTAGTTGGTCCTAATAATTATATATTTGTATATATAATTGTGTTTGAAAATAGTAGTGAACTATGTGCATCAATTAAGTATTAATTAGTATAAGGGTTACTAGGATTAAGATACATAAACGATTTTTTGGTGACCGATTTTTATATATATCATCACATAATTAAATCATTCGGTCTCAACAATTTGAATTATTGTAGGGGGTTTACAATAGAAATTTATATTCGTATATTTACCGTATCATTCAAATTTTTGTATTTTATATTATGGATTCTTGAATTAAAAAATCAGCAAGCGAGTCCAATTGCAACTTCTTTTCCGTTAGTGCTTGTTGGCTCGAATTTAATCGCGTTAGAAACCCTATTAATTCGAGTTGTTAGGAGAGGTCCATACTTAGCCACTTTCTTACAACATGTACGGTGCACTTACATTGACTAGAAACACTATAAATCTCTACCGGAAAGGACAATTGACGTTGAGGCGGACATACACTAAGATGAAATAGTCCCACCAATATGCCCACAAAAGACATCATCATCATAGATACTATGAAGCAAAGTACACTATCGAGTTTAGTATATATAGAATGGTGGAACCAACTATATATTTCTTTGCATGCTAATCCACATCAAGCAAAGTTTCATCTTTTAACATGCTTTCTTATGCATAGACTTTCTAACTACATATTTGGCAAAGTTTGATTGGAACACGATCGTAAGGAAAAGAGATTGAGAATTGTTGTTGTTACGTCTGTCCAACTCCAACTCATATTCACACACACGCATAATTAAGGAAACCTGACTTTGACATAATTTTGGTAAGAGATCATAGTACGGAAAAGTAAAGAAGTATTATAGGAATGTTTTGATGTGGTATAGTATTCCTTAATTAATAATTAGTGGGTGGTAGCTCTTGGAGTGGGATTGCTTTGTGGGTGGACTGGTGGCTCTTTATTGGCTCCATCTGATCCCTAATTGGAGTGGACTTCACTGGGCTTTAATTTCAGTACGTGAGTGGGTAGAGGTATATATAGCTAGGGCTGTCAATTTGGTTTGGTTTGGTTAACCAAACTATTAAGTATGAAAAACCAAAAACCAAATCCCAAAAACTAAAACCATTAAGGCCTTTATTGGTTTTTGGCAACAAAAAACCAATAAGGGCCTTAATGGTTTTGGTTTTGGTTTGGATAACCAAAAAACCAACATGTACTCATACACTCATATTTATTCCTATTTCCCTCCTTTTTATTGAATAAACGTCATAATAATGGTAAATGGCCATAACAAATTATTGGTTGGCATGCGTGTCAAAAGAAACAAAAAAATAATATTTATTGATAAATAATTTTATTCTTATTGGTTTCTTAATGGTTTCTATTGGTTTTTTGATTTTAACCAAACCAAAACCATTAAATTGCTTATTGGTTTAAAACCAAAAAACTGAAACCATTAGCTTTCCAATTGGTTTGGTTTCGGTTAAAACCAAAAAACCAAAACCAAATGGACAGCCCTATATATATAGCTCGGCCAATTGGCCGGAAATGGAGGTCAAGTTCCCGATAGCCATTTGCACACACCACCATCCATGGACATAATATGGGTTGCGCTTTGGGAATCAATTTAATTTAATGATTTAGAAAAAGCGGACCTCGGTTTGGTCGTATGGACACGATCTCCGAAACAGTTTCATTTTTTGTTTTTTGAATATTGAATCGATTACTATCTTATTTGGTGTAGTCCGGTACGATTTGGTGTAAATTAGATTATTTTTACCGAATCAAATATCTATCCTTATTTGGTGTTGAATTGAATTGATACGAAAGAAGTAAAAAAAGTGTTAGCCTGAAACTAGGCAAAATTATTGTATTTGATTTGACTTCGTTCTATATATTATATGAAGAACTAATAATTAAGTGGTTCTTCTCACCAAAAAAAAAGTGGTCCTAATAACTGCATCTTGTGAAATGAATTCTACCGTATTTGAAAATTGTACTGAACTAGTGTATCTTTGTGCACCAATTAAGTATTAGTATATGAGTTATTAGAATTGAGACACATGAGCTTTTGGCCAACGACTTTGGTATCATCATGTAATTACTCTAGTCGGCCTTAATTATCCAATTATTGCAGGAACTTTAAGATAAAACATTATATAAATTCACTTACCGTGTCATATACTTTTTATATTTTATTTTATAGATGATTCAATTAAAAAATCAGTCAACAAACTCAAAATCATAACCAATTTTTGCTTCTTTTTCGTGGGTGCTTGTTGGCTCGATCTCAAGTAGACTAGAAAAATGTATAAGATCAAAGGAAATTATTAGTCTTATCAAGCTTATCATATAATTTTGTCAAACTTTCAACCTGAATCAACCCATGAATTTGAACTTTGTGCAATCTCTTCAATACGTACATAATATGCACTTGCATCAACTACTAGCTAGTAATATCAGAACTCGTTTGGATTCAAACACATACCAAGTTTAGTATCTATAAAGTGTTAGTTATATATTTCTTGAATGCTAATTCATGAAGTAAAGATTCGTCTTTTTCGTGCTTACATATGCACACTTTCAAATTATCTGACAAAGTTGGATTGTAACAATCACAAGGAAAAGAGATCACGATTGACAAATGTCTTTTGCTTTGTTGTTATAAAAAAGCTTTACTTTGATAAAGTTTTGGTCAAAAGTCTATGTAAAATTGAAGAAAACGATAATGAATTGTAGATGATCCCTTGTTTAATATTTGGTGACACGTGGCGAAATAGGATCGGAATCCATCGACTTGGAGAGGTGGCAAGTCATGCACAAAACCCATGATAGAAATTAATCAAATTATGATAAGGTTGAAGGAGACATGGAAAAAGTTGAGAACCCTTGATAAGGTTGAAGGAGCTAGCATACATATAAGGAAGTGAAGAAGGAACTGTATCATATTATCGACCCTAAAATAGTTCATTATCGTCATTAAAATCACAAAAATATTAGATTTATATGATTAGAGTACTAATTCGAGATAATATCGGTTGGATTTGGCGATATAGTAACTTTTGCTGTGATTATACATACCATAGTACTTTTGAA